GATTGAGGGTCTGGTGGGATTTGGGGTTTGAGAGGTTAGGAGTTGGGTTTGCCCAGGAATGTGGTCCTCAACCCTTAACTGTCTGACTTGAACCCTACTTTGGGCCTCTATAGTGTAGTACTTGCACCATCGTTTACAAAATAGCTTGATGTAAAATAAGCTTGCTTCATACTTCCTTTTTAAAATGCATTTAAAAAGCAAACCAGAGGCAGTGCTGTCTAAATGGATAAGCCATTATCACTTGCCATAAGCAAAAAATAACTAGCCAAAAAAGCCAATACAGGGCTGGGGTTGCGGCTAAGTGGTAGAGCACTTGCCTCGCACGTGTGAGGTACTGGGTTCAATTCTCAGCACCACATAAAAATAAATAAAGATATTGTGTCCATCTTTTTTTTAAAGCCAATACAGGAGATGGGGTTGCGGCTCAGTGATAGAGCACTTGCCTGGCATGTGTGAGGCACTGGGTTCGATCTCAGCACCACATATAAATGAATAAAGGTCTATCAACAACTAAAAAATACATATTTTTTAAAAGCCAATACAATGGCAATAAAGAAATGTACTAAAATTTGAACTGGACCCTCCCTGCTCTTAAAGGCTTTGAATCCAAAGCCTGTCTACTGCATTCAAAAAGAAAACTTCTTGTGCCCTAGAGAAGCTTTCTCTACGAATATTTATTGAACACCTACATGTGCCAGGGTATAAAGCAGAGAACAAAGATGCAGTGTTTCAAATCATCATTTTCATCATTCCTCAACCTGAGTGTGAGTCTCTGGTATTGCTCTGAGACTCCGATGCTGTGACATGAGACTCAAACATTTTCAGAAGTACACATAGGTAATAGTCCCAAACAGCCCAGAAACTTCATACCCTGGACATGAGCCTCCTAGACCTTAGGTCTTGGGTATTCACCCCAGACCTCAGAGACCTCATACCCTGGAATATACACCTCCATACATAATGGAGCAGAGTGCTCTATCTGGGACAAAGACCTCAGTTAACTCAGGCTTCACTGGAACAGAGTTTATGGCTCTAAACCCTCTCATGAAGTCTTTCACCCTGGGATTCAGACCCAAAACACACCCAGGAACTTTCCTTCTGTCTTCTGTGATAGAATTATGTAAGCACCTCAAAAGACTTTACAACCTAGGACCTTCACACCCAATCACTGTCTTCCAAACTGCTCAGTTTTCACTTCCTGGGACAGACCCCCAAATGACTGAGGTGTCACAACCTAGACCCAAGATCTTACTGTGTTGCCCAGACTGGTTTCAAACTCCTAGGTTCAAGGTTTGAGTGATCCTTGTGTGCCACCATGCCTGGCTACTTAAATGGTTCTGAAATACCTTGGACACAAAGTTCCAAATCACTCAGAGATACTCTAAAGATCATCATTAAACATTCCAGAGACCTTGCTCCCTAGAATATAGTGCCTTGAACAATTCAGAGACAGATCTCAAGAGCTTAGAGATCTCAAGATCTTGTGGCCTGGATACAGACCCTGTTCAGAATTCATACCTTGGAGACAAATGTGTATATGCAGCTCAGAGACCTTCTGACAGACCCTGAACAGTTCACAGGACACCCTAAATATAGACTATCAAAACTTCTGAAACCTTGTACTTTGTAACCCACATGATTACAAAACCCAAAAAAGCTCAGATACCTCACAATTGGGAATAGAGATCTACTAATTTCTCAGAGAACTCACAAATCAGGACAAAGATGGTGAAACAGTTCAGAGATATCACACCTTCTCCTCAGACAACCAGAGACCTAATATCCCGAAAGTGACCATAGAGCACTCTGAAATCACATATACTACTGGCCCTATACCAATCCAGATACCTTATAACCCTGGATACACTCCAATTCTGAGACGTCAACTGCTAGACACAATTTAAAAAAAAAAATGCTCACAAGTGTTAGACACTGAGACATCACCAACAGCTTGGAGACCTCACACTCTGATTTATAGATAAGATCAGAGACTTGAAGATCTGGATACAAACCCTCTACATAGCTTAGACTCCTCACATTCTGTGATGCAGCCCCCAAATAACTCTGAGGTCACATAGCCTGGGCACAGTTTCCAAACAGCTTAGAAACTTCATATCCTTGGCTCAGATGTCCAACAGATCAGAATCTTCCCCACTTTTTTGGAAGTATTGGAGCTGGAACCCAGGGCTTTGCACATGTTGGGCAAGCATTCCATCACTGAGCTACATCCCCAGCCTCCCTTTTTATTTGATTTTGAGACAGGGACTCACCAAGTTGCCCAGGCGGACCTCAAAGATGCAATTCTCCTTCCCCAGCTTCCCAAGTAGCTGGGATTACAGGTGTGTACCATTGTGTCTGGCTCTACTCTTAACCCAGACCTCCAAATGATTCCAAAATATCACACTCTGGACTCAGCTCCACACCATTCATGGAATTTGCACTTTGTACTCTATCCAGAAGGATTTCAGATCCCTGACGGCTACAAGGAAACATCACATTCTATGCAAAGATGGCCACAAATAGCAGAGATCTCATAAATGGGACACAGACCCCAAACAGCTTAATGATCTCAAATCATAGACATATACTCCCAACCGGTTCAGAGAACTTCTAACCTGGAAGACTAATGTGAAAACATTTCAGAGGTATCACATCCAAACTACTTATGCCCACATGGTGACTCACATGATGGAACACTAACTCCCAACCTGAAGACTACACCTTCACACAGCAGATATACAATGCCAAAATGCTCAGGTTGACAAACTTTACAGACCCCAGGACACACATACCCCCAAACACACAAGAGACACCAGAAACTGGTAATATAACCTCAAACTGCTCAGAGACCTCAAAGTCTAGAAACAGACACCTAGTAAGTCAGAGTCCTCATAGCCTGTGACCAAGACACCCCCAACAGGAAGGACTTCACACTTGGAAAGAAGTAGTTGAAGAACCTAAGGAGTACAGAGATCCAAGATCTTACACTTTGGGACATGAAGGGTAAAGCACCTGAGAGGCTTGAGACAGTAAAATGATATCAGTAGAAAGACAGACTTCAAGAACAGATCCTGAAACTGTTCAGAAACAACACTAGGATAAAACCCAGAGCATTGGAGAGGATTATTCATTGGGATGTAGTTTCAAAACAGTTCAGAACTGGGCATGGTGGCACACATCTGTAATCCCAGTGACTCAGGAGGCTAAGGTAGGAGGATCACAAGTTCAAAGTCAGCCTCAGCAACTTTGGAAACCAACAGCTTGGAGACCTCACACTCTGATTCATAGAAGAGATTAGAGACTTGAAAATCAGGATACAAACCCTCTACAAAGCTTAGGCCCTAAGCAACTCAGCGAGACCCTGTCACAAAATTTAAAAAATAAAAATTAAAAAGGCTTGGGATGTGGCTCTGTGCGCAAGTGTCCCTGGTACAAAAAAAAAAAAAAAGTTTAGAGGGGTAATATCTCGGGCTCAGACATCCAAACACATCACAGTCTTCATATGAGGGTCACAGACACTTTATACCTGAAAAAAGAGATGGTTAAATAACACAGAGATATCACGTTCTTGAGCTAAGAGATTTCAAAAATGCACACCTGCAAAACTTGCAAAAGCCCAGAAGACTCACTGGTACATACACACACCCATTAAATGTTCAGAGACGTTGACCTTGGGGGGGGGAAAAAACCCTAATGAGTCAGAGATATCATACCCTCCCAAAAGGAACAGAGATGTCCCACCTTAAAATATATCCCAAACAGGTTAAGGAACTCTGGAACCAAACAGATCAGGGGCCATGTGTCCTAGGACACTGGTGGCTAAACATCTCAGAGATCTTACAATGTAAATACAATTACTCAAGTAGCTCAGTAAACTCACCCCCATGAATGCAGACCAGAAAATGCTCAGAACCCTTAAATTCAGGATCAGAAATCCTTCTGAGACCTAAGATATAGACCTCAAAATATAATTCAAAAAATTAATATGCTGGATGCAGAATATCAAATAATTCAGACCTCAAATTGTGGGACACAGCCAAACAGATCAGAGACTTCACATCCTGGACATACACCAACAAACAGACCAGGGACCTCACTCCCTGTGATATACAAATGAAAAAACAGCTCAGAGAATTCAAATTCTAGGAAGCACACGCCCATAAAGTACAGAGACCTCACATCCTGTGACATACAAATAGATCAAAGACCACTCACACTGAGATATACACCCACAAACATTTCAGAGAAATAACATTCAGGGACTTATACAGATAAAAAGACAATGGACTTCAATCCCTGGGACACATGCACACAAATACACCATACACTTCACATGACAGGATAAACACCCACTTACACTCTGGGAAATAAACTATAGAATGCACCAGAGACTTCACATATTGGGACACACACCCACAAAGAAAGCACACAAAAGCAGACCACACACCTGATAATTATAATGCACACACACAAGTGACAACAGTACTAACAACCTGGAAGTGCATCCATAAATGGAGTAGAACCCTCGAGCCCTTCACAGTACTTTCACAACCATGTAAGAGTCACATGCTGAAAAACACACTCAGAAAAAGACAGTGGATCTCACAACTCTGATGTATGCTTGGAAACACATCAGAGAACTCACACCCTGGGACACAATACTCTTACACAGATCAGGGAGCTCAAACATAGGGACACACACCCACAAGCAGATCAGAAATTTCAAATCCTACATCATAATCACAATCAAGTCTGATACTTCATGGGCCAGGAAAACACCAGAAACTAATCCTAGACCTGACATCCTGCAATGCAGAACCACAAAGAGAACAGAGAGCTCATGTGCTGGTTGATCCATTGCAACAGAGAAGAGAGACCTCCACCATCAGACACACACAGTTAGATGATGGAGTTCTCATCCTGGAATGTGCACCAACACCCAGACAAACTTACCATATCACATTAATTTTATATTGTTGCAGAAACAAAGCAACACAATCTTTTTGTTATAAAATAACTCAAATTTATTCTTTTCCATTTCTGCAGGTCAGAAGACTAATGAGGAGTTTTACAGGGTCAAGGCATTGGCTAGGTGTAGTGGCATGTGGCTGTAGTCCCAGCTACTCAGGAGGTTGAAGCAGGAGATCACTTGAGCCCAGGGCCAGCCTGGGCAACACAGCAGCGAGACCCTGTCCATAAAAAAAAACAAACAAACAAAAAAGTGAGTTGAGAGCAGAACGTGTTATATGATCTTCTTTATGTACAAATGACCTAAATGTAAACATTAAAAACCACAATAAACCATGTGCAGTGGTGCATGCCTATAATCCCAGTGGTTTGGGAAGCAGGAGGACCACGAATTCAAAGCCAGCCTTAGCAAAAAGCAAGGTGCTAAGGAACTCAGTGAGGCTCTGTCTATAAATAAAATACAAAATAGGGCTGAGGATGAGGCTCAGTGGTCTAGTGCCCCTGAGTTCAATCCCCAGTACCCCCCCTAAAAAAACACAACAAATATTTTTTTAAGTCAATGTATTGCTAGGGCTGACATCCCTGTGAAGTTATTAGAGCAGAATCCAGTTCCTGTATAATGCCCATATTCCCCAGCTCATTGCCCTTCCTCCAACTTCAAAGCTAGCAGCATTTCACCTTCAAATCTCTCCCCCTTTCCTCTCTCTGTATCTCTCTCATATTATCTTTTATCACTCTGCTTCCATCACTACATCACCTTCTCTGACTCTTGCCTTCATGTCTCCCTCATATAAGGATACTTGTGATTACATTGGGCCTACCAGGATAATCTAGGATAATTTCCCCCTCTCAAATGCTTAGTTTAATCACAACTGCAAAGTCCCCCTTTCCATTTAAATTAGCATAATCATAGGTTCCTAGGATTAAGAGGTGGACATCTTCAGAGTGCTATTACCCAACCACTAGAGACAAGCACACAACAAACAGCTCTCAGATCTCATTTGAGTAGTGTACTTCCAAATTGATGAGACACCTCCCAGTCTCTAACAGACATCCAAAAAGAGCAGAGAGACACACATTCTGGGACATATACCAAAAAATGTTCAGAGTTATCAATTACTTGGAATTAAACTCACAAACACATAAGAGAATCTACCATCTGGGATGTATACACTGAAAGAGAACAAGAGACCTGACATGTTAGGATACACTAAGAGATTAGGGACCCCACATTACAGGATATATGTACTTGAAGATATCAGGCATTCAGAACTGGGACACACACACATACACACACTCATACACACACACACACACACACACACACACACTGCAAAGAGAAACGTGTTATTAGACATTAACCCATAAGAAGTCAGGTACCTCACAAACTAGGATGTGTATCAACAACTGAATAGAACTCATGCCTTTGAAAAATGCACACAAAGAGATCAGACACTCATACTGTGACATATACTCACAAACGGACCAGAGATCTCATGTAAGAAAAATGACCAAAAAGTGATCAGAAACCTCAAATCTTCAACATGAAACTACAAACAGGTTAGAGGCTTTACAGGCAGGATTTGTAAACCCAGAATAAAGACAGACCTCACAGCCACATACAAGTCAGAGATTCCAAATCCTATAATAAATACCCTCAATCAAGTAAGAATTCTCTCGTGTTAGGAGAAAAAAATGCCATGAACAGACAACAGATCTAAGATCTTGCAACATATAGCCATAAAGAGATTAGAGAGTTTATACTCTGAGACATACTCCCAAACCAGTCAGAGGTTTTCAAAACAAGGGCTATAAACCACAACAATTTCAATGACTTTGCAGCCTCAACACATACACACCTCAACATATCAGATGTAGATATGTCAGCAAAAAAGTTACATCTGCTTAGAAATATACCTCCAAATCTCAGAGATCTGACAATATAGAACACAGATCCCCCAACAGTTTAGTAAACTCACATCCTAGGATGTACATCCACAAAGGTCTCAAGAGACCAGGCTGAGGGTGTACCTCAGTGGTAAAGCAATTGCCTCACACACATGAGGCCTTGGGTTCAATTATCAACATTACCATCAAAAAAAAATCTTTTTAAAGCTTGGAAAAAAAGCTCAGAGACCAAACATGTCTTAGGGCATACTTTCACAAATAGACCCGGAACCCTCAGATCCTGGGAGGATACCCTCAACACAGATCAGAGACTTCACAACCTGGTTCATTTACCAGTGAAAACCAAGTATTTTATACCATAGGATATTGCCCACAAATAGATCACAGAATTCTCATCCCAGAACACACACCAACAGACAGATCAGAGTCATCAAAACCTGGACATATACTCAAAAATATCAAGGCTTTAATCCATGGGACCTAAAGCCATGAACTCCACACCCTTAATATACATACTAAAATAGATCAGAAACCACACATCCTGGACCCAGAAACTAATGAGAGACTTCATGTCCTAAGACATATAACCTCAAGGAGGGGACAGACCTCATATCCTACTTCATTCACCTGCAAACAAATCAGAGAATTCACAATATCAGACACACTCCCATAAGTATATCAGGGAGTTTAAATCCTGGGACATACACCAACAAAAATGACTACTGACATTCTAAAAAAATACACCTACAGAGAGGTCAGAATTCTTACAACCTGGGTATATACACCTCAACAGATTAGAGAACTCAAATACTGGGTCATATACACAAAATCAGACTGGATACCTCCAGTTCTAGGACATACACCCACAAAAAGTTGAGAGCACAAACTCTGGGACACATACCACCAAACAGATCTAGGAAGGGGTATATATTCCCTAAAGATAAACTTAAAATAACCCTTTTTACTCTAAACTTTTAAAATTTGGATTCATCAGGGCTTAGTGCTACAGAAAGGCATATGTGTCCAAATTTTAAAAGTTTAGAGTAAAAAAGGGTTATTTTAAGATTATCTTTGGGGAATATATACCCCTTCCCAATTTCCTCTTTTTGCTTTTCTCATTCCCCGTATGGGCCACCAAATGCCGCAGTCTGGCTGGGCACAATTCAGGAGCCACTTGTCAAAAGAAACGAACTTTGTTTTTAGAACCACACACTCCAAACAAAACAGCTCCTCAGGAAAAACCATCAGAGCCCAACTGCCACCACCGGCTTCCCACAAGCCTCTCCACCTCCCCCACTCCTCCTGCTCTTGAGGCTGATTGGCTGGGTCGCGTGGGCGGAGCCAAAAAAGTCCCCCAATTTATTTAATGTCCCTGGTTATACTTCTACCTCTTTTAAACAATTTTGCTCATCATTTGGCTTTACTCATATAACAGGAATCCCATACAATCCACAGGGACAAGGCATAGTTGAAAGAGCTCATCAAACTATTAAAATGTATGTGTATTAAAGCAAAAAGAGGGAATTGGGAAGGGGTATATATTCCCCAAAGATAAACTTAAAATAACCCTTTTTACTCTAAACTTTTTAAATTTGGATTCATCAGGACTTAGTGCTGTGGAAAGGCATATGTGTCCAAAAAATGTACATAAGCCCAAGGTACTTTGGAAGGATATTCTAATAGGACAATGGAAAGGTTCTGACCCAGTAATTGTCTGGAGTTGGGGGTCTGTTTGTGTTGGGGGTCTCCACAGGGAGAACAGCAGCTGATTTGGATTCCAGAGAGATTAACTAAAGCGATTTCTATAGACCAAAAGGAAGATGATTTGGCTCAAATCCATAACAGCTGATATCCAAAACTCTAGTTTGGCTATCCTTACATCTGCGACAGAACCAGGATGCTTTCTTCAATATCTATTTTATTATTACCCTTTCCCACATAATGAAGTTCTATTTTGTTTTTTGAGCTCATACAGACCTAGGTTAATGTTTTGCTGATCAGTTCTATTTTTTGACTATAGAGTTTTTAAACATTGCAATGGAGATTTCACCTGTAAAAAGTTT